ACATATTTGTTGTCAACTGGAGGTGATAAGTGATATTTGATCTGAAGACACGTTTCTTTTTGAATGGGTACCTGAGGTACAGTCAAACGCATAAGTGCAATGGTTCTTTCTCTCTCAGTAGTGACTGTTGCTAAGTACATTTCTGCTGTAGCGTCAAGTTGATATCCGATGCGCAGTAACTAAAAACTAATCAATTAATAGTTGTGCTGAAAATTAGGTAGAAAAAATGCAACTCATTTGGAGTACCTGGAGGAAGAAGAATGAGTACCAGCATTTTGCGAAACCAAGCAGCGAATAGTAAACTGAGGTTACCAAAGCGGAAAACAGGAACATTGATTTGGCTCCCATTGAATCAGCGAGCTATGAGAACATTTTATTTCTGTTTTCAATAAAATTTCACAATTATTAAGCATTTGAATGTAATTACTTTTTCACCAAAAAGTGCTCTCAAGAGATTGAGCTTTTTTTACAAATTAGTTGAACTTCTTGTTTGTTCCATACAAGTTCTACTTTTGTATGTGGTTGCTGGAGATATTACCAGTTTTTATATGTCTATTAATGTACAGTTTTAAATTTGAATTTTCAATGTTTACCTCGCCAACAGCAAGGGCTCCGATAGCATTACAAAGGCTTCCAAAAGATTGAATATAGCCAATGTCAACAATGGTCATCACCTAAACAGTTGAATATGCTTAGTAAAGTTATGATTTTCTTGGTCTTAAGATCTGTTTCAGCCGTTTTCTTTTAAATGAAATTATTTGAAAGCTTTTATATTTTTATGACAGCATTTGACTTTGCGCAAAGTTATTAGAGTATTTATTTTCTCAACTCTGTTGCACTCGACAAATGTTTATTTTGAGAGAATTCGAAGAAGAAATTTGTTTTTTTTCTCTACGTTGAGTACTTAACACAGTTGAGGAACTAATGTTTATTTTGCTCTGAATTGTCCTGCATGTTGATTGCAAAAAATTTTCGACTTTTTACATTGATCAACTGATGAATTTGTAATTTGAAAGAATACTTACGGGGAGTGATTGGTGGCGAAGAAAAATAAGATGTTCAAAAGGTCTATTTTTTTTATTTTAATTTAAAACATTTTTAGATATTGGAGGTTTGACGTCTGCAAATTTTTCTCTGGAAAATGAGGTCTAACGAAACAGCTATGCTCTTCAGCAACTAAAGTTTATACTGTTTTTAAGAATGATGTTAAAGAGTTACATGAATGGTATCCCACTGTAGAAAGGACAGTAAGGTTGTTGTCCATTGGGTGCCCAAGTTCCAGATGCCATATATTACACAGAGTACGAGAATAATCCGCTGTTTTCGATCCATTTTGAATAGAAGAATGGGAAAAAACACCGGTAATTATGTGATGAGAATCAGAGATTGATAGATGACATAAAAAAGCAAACAGAAAACGCAGTTGTCGCGAGCGTCTGGTTGGGGCCGTTTGTGAGTAAAAGGTGTGGCGTTTGGTCCTTATGCAGTACACAACAGGGATTGTGCTCAACGACCTAATTTTACTTTCGTTTCGTCTCTCCAACACGATCTTTCTTTCAAATTCTTTAATACTTTCTCCTTCGTACATGTTTTCTAACTTTTTTCTATGTATGTTTTGTGTGTGTTTGTTTGTGTTTTTTTTTTTTGTCGTCGTGGACTTTCAGTTTCATTTTTATGTTTTCTCCCGTGCTCACTGCTGAAGATCCAATAATCTTGATGGCGTAGAATGCCTTCACGACAACGATGACATCGTTGTTAGACAAAAAAATTTTTTTTGTCTGCCCTGCATCTTTCTCTTTTTTTCCTCTTGTTTTGAGTCTTTCAGTTCGCCATTTGGTGTGTTTCTTAACTGTTGGATGCCTCTTTTTTGTGCTTGGGACCCTTCAGAGAGGGCTAGGCTAAAGAAAGATTGCGGTTACGTAAAAAACCGTTGTTCAGCAGCTATTCTGTCGATGGTGCTAAAACTTATAAAGGACTGCAGACATGCCGTTCTATTATTCTGTATTATTGCCAGTCGGTACATTGTGAAAACTAAAATTACGCTTAAATATTCCTTTTAGAACTTCTTCTTTGTTTTGAATTGCAAATTTTCAAATTAAATCAGCAGAACCATCATGTTTTTGTTTTATCATTGAGAAACATTTCAAGATTATTTGTTGGAAATTGTAACCCTCTTCTTATTTTTTATTTTTTTTTATTTTTTGTCTTCTCTCTTATCGCGGTATTCTTTGTTTTTTTTTTTTTTCTAGTGCGATTTAGAACAGGTTTTTTATTTTCTAGTCAGTTGCCTTTCTTTACTGGTTGTGTGGTTTTCTTTTGGGGATATTTCATGCAGGAAAAGTAGTTTAATTTGAAGATTGAAGAATGTATAGAATAACCCTGGGGATGTGGGGGAAATTCGTCTTTGATTGTCTGATGCTCTGAATTGTCACAAAATTGAATACTTATTAGCTTTTCATTAATTCCTGAAAATTGTTTCAGTATGAAAATAGTTTAATTATGGGTTGTTTTTTCTTTCCGTGGTTTGTCATGAACAATTGGCATTTCAGCTTTGTCATAATTTGTATGAAGGACATATCTGATATTGCAGGACGCATTATTTCTATTTTAACCAAAATCAATAAGATGGTAATTTTTTGCAATTGTTTTACCATTTCATCTAGTTTTTTCTTCTTGGATTTTCGTGTATGTATGTTTATTTCTTTTGGAGGAAATAACACAGGGACTTATTAATTTATTTGTTTTTAAAATCTCCACCTCTTAATAATAATACCAGTCTATTCCATATGCATTCGTAAGGGAAGATTCTGGAAATGAGATCTCATAAATCCACCGAACTGATGAACAAGTGCAATCCCAATCAGACTTATAACAGCACTTATATAGCAGAGTATTTTGCTCTCATTTGTATCGATATAATAGCCGGTGATAAGTGGTGCCATAGCAGTCGCGATCAGTTGAGCTCCTCTATTTAACGCTGCAGCCTTTCCAGTATCTCCTCTTCCAGCTTTTCCCATTATTTGGGCCGACAGTTGACCGTATGCCATACAGACTCCTAGCGCCTGAAATTACACTTAAGATCTCGAGTAGTCACATTTTTTTTTTGAATAATGATTATTACTATCGTTATTGTTATTATTGAAAACATCGAAATTTCTACTGGGTGCGATATTTTCTCGCTGCTAGTTCTTGCCTATAAATTTCATTTTTAAAATTGTCGATTGTGATGCGTGAACTTTATCATTGAATTTTTTTTTAATGCAAGAATTAGTCAGGTCTTATTTACCTGCAAGGGCATGCCAAATAGGAGGTGCTGGTATTCGCGGTAGTAACTGAGGAATAAATAGGATATAGTTAGAACCACTAACGATAGTTGCAATAAAGCTTGAGGACCAAGACGGCGTTGCAGGGCAGGTAGAATTACTATGTTTCCCGTCAGGGAGGCTAACCCAAGTAGTAATGCCTTAAAAGCTCATTAATTGATGACGGTAGTGATAAGATAGAGAGGAAAGCTAAACTACGTCATCGGTAGGGGGAAGCTTACAAGTTTTGCCATATCACCGGGGTGGAAAAGCATATGAGCTGAGAGGTTTGCTCGCATTACTTGATCATAAGATGAATATGGGGCAGCGACTATCTGAAATAATTTTTGTTAATACTGAAAAGAATAGAAGAAAGCGGTACTATTGTTCTTTCCGGTTGTTAGGCAGAAAGCAATCAATCTGCTCTTTCGCTGGTAATCATTTTTGCTATTCTCTTATTTTCCCAATATTTTAAATCGCGGTGTCGAGAAGGAATGAATTCTAACAGTTTTTTGCAAAGGTAATTCTCATAGTATCTCACCTAATTACGGTCTTGTTAGTACTCCATTTTTTTCTATTATTTAACGCCACTTACCAAAAGGAACAGTAAGGACCATTTCATCTCTGGATCTCGAACCATATCTAAGTAACTACTTAGCGAGGGCAACAGTGAACGATTGCCACCTTCAAGTAAACACCAGCATATACTTTGAGTTTATGATGGGGTTAATTTGTTTGGCACATAAGACATGTTTTAAATTATTTTAAGTGGTATGTAAACTTTTGGACTAATGTAATCTTACTAGAAACATTTGATGTTTGGATTTACACAACTTACCAGATCTGCTTTCGGTTGGGATCATTATCAAGATTAGTGGGATAGCTGTAGCAACATGGATCAGGCCACAGACAAGCTGTGAAGTTGCCAGGCTTGGGCTGATAATGTAAAGGACCTGAAATGTGGTTAAAGTTGTGGTAGCTTTGCCTAACAGTCGAAAAGTTCATAAAAGATTAACGTAGCAAGCTTCGAGAAATAGTCGTCAGATTATCTATTTAGATAACTTTTAAAAGAATGCTGATTTCTTTTTTTTTTTTTTCGATTGCGTTCGATGATAAAGCTTAGTTACTTATGCGACAGTTTATGATAAGTTGTTGCCGTTTTTTGAATTTAGTTTACGGGAAAAGTTTATGAATTTTTAAAACCTGGATTGCAAGATATGGTCCTGCAGCAAATGCAATACTTTGTGGTACGGTTAATCTCATAATTAATCTCGCTCGTTCTTTATCGTCACCATCTTCTCCAACTATTTGTGCAGTTAATGCGTCGGCTACCATTGGCATATGATTTGCTAATAGCAAAAGTTGTATGATTGCGAACGTGTAAAAACTGGTTATTTTACTTATTAGCATCTATAATATTTTAAAAATATTTAATTGTGATTTAGCCTTCAATGGTCTTTATTGTTGAATATTTGAAATTGAAAAAAAGTTGCAGTTGAGGAAAAAAAGAGCAAGTGAGTATTTTACTTGGTATAAAGCGGTGATTGCAGTTACAAAAATAGCTGTTTTTCT